ACAGAGGATGCTGCCTCACTCACCCTAACCATGCTGCATCTTCTGCCCTAGAACACCCGGGACCTGCTGTTCCACAACAACCTTCACCTGCTGTTCCACAACAGCCTTCCCCTACTGTTCCACAACAACCTGAACTTCCTGTTTATAAACAACATAGGGGCCCACAAGTGCATGGGAAGAGACGGCTTTCCTCAAATCAATGTGCACCTACTCGCACACCACAACCTGTACCAGCTAGTGATTTTGTGTGGTGTAATTGCCAGAATTATGTGCCAAATACATATGTTTTTGATATCTCATACAAAGGTATTACTGCAGCTACAAATGTGGATGACGATAGCAGTTACTTGGATTATTTTTGTATGCTTTTTGATGAGGAATAGATCAGTGATATTGCAAGTGAAACAAATAAGTATTATTTTTTTTTTGTGGTGGTGTACAAGTGTCTTCATATGGCTCACTTGTACAGCACTGGAAAGGAGTGAGACACCACTGTAGCTGAAATGTTCATGTTTCTTGCATTAGCAATGTTGATGCCACCATCAAAGAAACACTCAATGGTTGAGTACTGGTACAAAGACATTCTACTTGCAACACCTGTGTTCAGCAGGTACATGTCTCGTGACAGCTTCAAGCTGCTATTGAAATATCTTCACTTTGCCGATAACACCACCATGAACCGTAGTTACCCGTTGTCCAAAACTCGACCAGTGTTTACTGCATTGAAAAACAAGATGAAAGACCTATTTTTACCGTTCAAGAACTTGGTAATTGATGAGTTTCTTGTCTTGTTCAAAGGTCATCTTGCATTCAAGCAATACATTCCAAGCAAACATCATCGCTTTGGAATCAAAGTGTTTGTTTTATGTGACTGCGAAACGGGAATTGTGCGTGATCTTATTGTGTACACTGGAGCTACAACTGATATTCCTCATGATAATACAACTGGAATTTCAATGGTAATTGTAAAAAAGATGATGGAAACTTATATTGGGAAAGGGCACATCTTGTTTACAGATAATTGGTACTCTAGCCCTGCCCTGTGTATATTTTTACATGTTAACAACACTGGTTCATGTGGTACAGTGCGTAAAAACAGGAAGCACATGCCAGTGTTCAAAGAAAATATTGTAAAGGGTGAAGTTGACAAATATGAGTGCAATAACCTCTTGGCACTGCACTGGAAGGACAAAAGAGAAGTGACAATGCTAACAAATGTACATATGGGGGAGATGATTGATACCAAGAAGATCGACTACAATACTGGAACATAATCATGAAGCCTGATATGTGATTGAGTACACACGGAACATGTGCTTAGTTGACAAGAGCGACATGTAAATCGGTAATATTGAATCCATGCAGAAATCTGTAAAATGGTACAAGAAAATATTTTTCCATTTGGTTGATATAGCTGTACTCAATTCCTACAACTATTACCTCGTAAAGACTGGCAAAAAGATCAAGTTAAGGGAATTTGTACATGATGTTGTGTACCAGATTCTTGAGAAATATGGCACAGTGAAGTCAGGAATTTGTGGTAGTGTTGCCTTCCAACCACTTGGTCCTGACCGTCTTGCTGCACGAAACTACACCTCCAGAAGTACCAGGGAGCACAAGGAAACACCGAGTCAAGGGTCAGCGTCGCTGCAGGGTGTGTTCATCTACGTCCAAATGACCTCAGATAAAGAAACTCACAACAGGGATGTGTGCCAAATGCAAAGTGCCACTGTGCATTCCATGTTTCCATGAGTTCCACTTGTAAACACACCTCTAAAAAGTGGTGAATATACTGTATATAGTGTATAATCATGTAAAGGTGCTGTGAGGTTGGTAGTGCACCACCGTTCACTCCCAGATGGGCGATAACTGCCAGACGGGTGCTGAAGTACGATGTCTTGCCGACTTCTCCGACTTGCCAATAACCATAGGTAGTGAGTACAGTAATAATTATGTTATTTCCTATTGACTAATAGCATTTATATATAAGTTTGGTGTTAATGAATAATTTTTTGAACTTTGAAACCATTTATAAAAAACTTTTTTATTATTACCACCCTGCCAATTTGAATCTGTTGTTTGTCTTCCGTTCTTTGGTGTTTAACAATAATTTAGCTGAATGTCAGGTTTTTAAGGAATGCAACCCCATTATTAAATGAGGAATACCTCAACCCAAAGTGGGCCATATACTGTAAACTCTTATTAAGTAGTGGTGCTGATGTTGTACTGTATCTTATTGTCAAAGAAGACACACTTTTATGAGTAGGCTACATATTCTTATGGAATCCTTTAAATATCAAATATTCAAATGAATTCTAACATGGCTGCCAGTTATGTACACGGGTATTTTATTTCTTAAATCGCAATTTTACCTTGAAAAATACATTGCGAATTGTGGGTACATATAAATTATTGTACAGTGGTCCCTCGGTTAACGAACACAATCCGTTCCAGCAGGTTGTTCGTTAACCGAAAAATTCGTTAACCGAAACCATTGTTTCAATGGGTTTTTGGGTAATTGATTCCAGCTCACCGAAAATTGCCTAAATTCAACAAAAATGGTAGAAAAGTTCACTTACTTTGAGGTGTGTATGTAGAAGGCTCCTGGATGATGATGATGATGATGATGATGGGAATTAGAATGGGGGTGGAGGAGAAGGCATTGGGGTGGAAGAGAAGTCACCCCATGGCACCATTTCACCCATAAAATTTTAGTTCTCTTGGTATATTTCAAGATTATTTTCTTTAAATCAACACAGCACTGCATTATATATTGTCAATATGTAAAATATATTTCAAAATGACCAATAATTTGCTTGGAAACACAGAAAAAGCGTTTAGTTGAAGAGAGTCTCAAGCAAGATGTTACCTCCAGTGAAAACAGAGAGAGACTAACGCCTGTTTGCTGTGTTAAGAGGCTGGATGCCGCGCATTAAACTAGTCACTTTACCTTCAATTATGTTCAATAATTGTTAAAATGACTAAAAATTGAATATTAAACTTTTAAAATTATTGAATAGTATAAACTTCTTGATATTTACTAAAATAGTAAGGAATTTAAGCCCTAGAACCGATTAATGTATTGGCGGACTAATACTAAAGCTGGTTGACCGGCCAGTGCAAGCGAAAACATGTTGAGGTCGGTTCATAAGAAATTCGTTAACCGAATTTTTGTTCATTAACTGAATTTAAGAATCTTATGGGAGGCAGTTCGTTAACCGAAATTTCGTTAACCGAGGGACCACTGTACACCAAATAATATAACTTAGAGAGAAAAAGAGGCATCTGGCAGTCTTATTACATTGTATGTTTGTGGTGCATAGCATTTATCAACCAAAAGCCTGCATTTCCTTGCTGAATTCTACTGAACATACTGAAAGACTGGAACCTTCCTCTGAATTCCACTGAATATACTGAGTTAAAGCATTTCTATGTTAACCTGGCCCATAAGCCACTCCCCTCTTCTATAAAAATAGCTGATTGGTTCATAGAAAATGTTCAAATTGCTCTCCATTTATTCAAACTAAATATGTTCACAATTGGTAAGCGGACCTGTTATTTGCTAAAATAATGTTAAATATCTGGGATATCAAAATGCAACTGATTTCATGGCATTAGCACTTCAGAGAGGATGTTGGAAAATTTTTAATATTTATCATAAAAGGTCAAAGCCAAGATGAAATTTGCTTTTGAATGAAGGCTTTTAATTATTTCTTTGATATGTACCAAACATAAAGCAAACAGAAACAAATGATACCAAACATTGAAATACAATTTGTACAACTGGATATATCCCAAATCATTCATAAAACTGATAAAACTCGGTATAAATACGGGGAATAGCCCACCCGGGCACAGGTCATCGACCCACAACGGAGCCTGGGGGGCGAAAAGATCGGAGTAAAAAGAAATTAAAAATAGAAGAGAAAAAGACTGAATTAATCTACACCACGAAGATGCCGGAAAACCAGCATTTTGAAGCGAGACAGATTGTAAGAGTATGGAAACACAAAAGAAGGAAGAGCATTCCACAGTTTGGCTGTATGAGGAAAGAAGGATGTACTATAATGGGTTATTCTAGTGTGACTGATATCCACACAGTAACAGTGGACACCACAAGCAAGACGAGTGTTACGAGCCCACGGCCTTGCCAGCAGTACACAGGATGTTAAATCCACTGAACAATATAATATGTAATATGTTATAATATGTAAAAAAATAAATAAAAACGTAATAAACTGGCTAGGCATGAGATGGAAAGAGAGATGTTGACTATATAATAGTACAGTACACTTAAACAAGTACAGTATACTGGCAAATGACTAAATCGTATTATTTTTTGTTGCATGGCAGGTTCAAATGAAGTGTGTTGGTGGAAAGGTACAGAGTACTCTGTCAGCTTTAATTGTGAAAAGAAACAAACAGTCACTTGAAGAACAGAATAAAGCTGAAGACCCAATACAGCCTAAGCCTATACTGCATAAGTCTGATGAACATGACAAAGGGCAGGATTCTACCTATGATCTATCAACTTCAGAAGAAGCACACTCTTCAACAAGACATTGTTTGAATTCTGATAATGGCAAAGAAAGATTTATTGGTGCTAAATTTGATGATGCTATGAAAGAGAAATTATTGCAGTCTCCATCGACATGTACTCGTTCTTATAACCCCAAGAGACAGTTGAGGATTCTGTTGGTGTGGATGGAAAGGTTTCCCTGGCTAGCTTATTTTAAAAAACATGCAGGTGGTTTTTGTAAGAGATGGGTCCTTTTTGGTAAAGAGTTTGTTGGCAAAGGTAGTCATTAAATATATATTTTTTAAAACATACTGGTTCTTTTCTGCTAATAATTATTCACCTTTAATGCCACAATAAAATGCACATAACTAAATGATTATTTGTTTTTATGTCTTGGAGAGTAAATGCCTTGAACCACTCTTTGGTCCCCTGAATCCCCCCAAACATAATTTCTAGATACGGCCTTGCTGTATGTACTTACTCCTTTCTGTAAAATATATCGTCCGAGAAGTATGTCCTCTTGAAGGATTCGCATGGGTCCAAACATTGGTGGCATTAGTCTACAAGCAGAGAGAAATACTGTAAATAACACAGTTGAACAATATTTATGGCTAAATTTATTTTCAGACTAATAATTGGGTTAGTAATAATGTACGGCAATAAATAAAATCTTATATTCAGATTAAAAAAAAAGATTATATATGAGTAAAACTTCATCATGTAATAGTCCCTGTAATAGAAAAGTACTGTAACAGACTACAGTACATGTATTATCTGTTACTTTGCCTTATATTACTAGACAGCTAAAATATTATGATTCCTTACCATTGCATGATAAATTATGTAATAGTCTACTACTATTGCCTCATGTCTGGCTGTAACTGTAAGATTGTTGATTACAGAGGGGAGCAAACACCCAAGCCACTAGACTTCATCATAACAAACGAGGATGGTATGGTGGCCAAAGTGGAACACCTTGCCCCAGTTGGCACCAGTCATCATATAGTGTTGTCATTCAGATTTAACTGTTACCTAGTTCAACATAAGGCCAGGCCAAGTTGCAAATATTACAGGTAAAATTACAACGGGATGAGGGAAGAGATGAGGGGTATCCACGGGCCTGACTCATTAAGGCACAAGAACGCAGACACTACGCTGAATATCATAAATAGTAAAGTGGCCCAATATCATAACTAGTAAAGTGGTCGACAAAGTTAAGAAGAAAACCCAGAAATTCAAGACGTGGGTTGGGTCAAATGATGAGCAGGACAGGAGGATGTATGCAAGAGCCAGAAACCAAGCCAAGATAGAATGTAGAAGGGCTGAAAAGGAGATCCAGAGGCTGGTTGCAAGCGAGGTCAAGTCAAACCCAAAGGCGTTTTACCGCTATGCAAAGTCGAAATTAATAACGTGAGTAGGAGTATCAGACCAGAGGCTTGAAGATGGTAGTTACGCAGATTCTGATCAGGATAAAGCTGAGGCATTGAACAGCTTCTTTTCCTCGGTGTTCACAAGAGAGGATGCGATTAACCTTCCTGAGTTTGAGGACAGACGGTTTGACACAGCACTGATCCACATTGTGTTCTCAGAAGAGGGTATTAAAAATAAACTGTCAAAGCTAAAGGTCCATAAAAGTCCCAGCCCTGACATGGTGCATCCTAGAGTGCTAAAAGAGTTGAGCAACAAGCTTGCCGAGCCCCTGAAGATCCTGTTTTGTAAATGTCTGGATGAACGAAAGGTCTCCAGTGAATGGAAAGTGGCTTATGTGAGTCCTATCTTCAAGAAGGGCGATCGTCACTCCACGAACAACTATAGACCGGTGAGCCTGACCAGCATAATATGTAAAGTACTTGAGAGTATTATCAGAGATGCCGCGATGGAACATCTACTACGAAACAACCTTGTAAAGGATTGCCAACACGGTTTTATGCCGGGGCGCTCCTGCTTAACGCAATTGCTCAAGGTATTGGACATTTGGACCCATATTCTGAAACAGGGTGGTAATATCGACAATATTTACCTAGATTTTGCCAAGGCTTTCGACAGTGTACCCCACGAAAGGCTGAAAATCAAACTGGAATGGTACGGAATTCAGGGAAATGTCCTAGCGTGGATAGAAGACTTTCTACATGACTGCAAGCAGTGTGTGGTGATTAATGGCATGAAATCATCATCCGTACCTGTCACAAGCAGGGTACCATAGGGCAGTGTATTGGGCCCGCTGTTGTTTGTTTGTTTCATAAATAACATGCCTGACATTGTACACTCCTCCATACAAATGTTTGCCAATGACGCCAAGTTATTTCGGGATATCAAGAACCAAGCAGACTGTGAAGAGCTGCAGAAGGACCTCTGTGGGCTCCATGAATGGTCGAAGAAATTGCTGCTGAGATTCAATGTCACGAAGTGTAAGAGGATGCACCTGGGGCGTACCAACGGTAAGGAGGCATATCGTATATCCCAACGGGATGAAGAAACTGCACTATTTGAGACTGAATGTGAGAAGGACCTAGGTGAGTATGTTGACAATGAGCTGAAGTTCTCGGGCCATTGCGAGAAGAAGGTAAATCAGGCAAATAAATTATTGGGTCTTATAAAAGGTCGTTCAGATATCTAGACGGTCCGTCCCTCGTAACGATCTTCAAGAGTGAAGTGCTTCCCCAATTGGAGTACTGTCACCTCGTCTGGTCCCCGAGATATGCTAGGGACTGTCAGTTGGTTGAAAATATTCAAAGGAGGGCCACCAGACTGGTGCCTGCCTTTCGGTACCTCAGCTACCCTGAGAGATTGGAGCGCCTGAACTTGCCTAGCTTATACTACAGACGGGAAAGGGGGGACCTAATAGAGGTTTATAAGTATTGTATCTCGAGAGTCACTACTCAGTCGAGTGTCCTTACTTGGAGCTGGAGGACGCTCGCCCCACAAGGGGTCACAGCTCAAGATTGAAGAAACAGCAAGACCAGAAAACTGTGAGGGCAAACTTTTTCGGAGTGAAAGTTGTGAACTCTTGGAACAATCTACCAGAAAGTGTTGTGACGGCACCGAGTGTGAGCTCTTTCAAGACAAGACTTGACCAACACTGGAGCAGGTTCAGGTAAATTCAGGAGCTAGTGCATGCCCAGTACTTGCCAACAGTGCATAACAGAGACGTGACCGATCGCCCAAGCGGCTAACGAGCCGATCTTTTGGTGAAGAGGATAAAAGAAAATGAAAAGTAATCAGAGACATGACCGATCGCCCAAGCGGCTAACGAGCCGATCAGTGGTGAAGAGGATAAAAGCAAAGTAAGTAAAAGTGAAGTCAAATTTACAAACCTATGATCCTCAAAGATTATTTATGCAGGTTAGAAGAGAAAATGTCTATGTCATATCCAAACTTTTATATGAACCAATCTGAACAGAAGCAATACTATACCTATTGCATTCCTTCAAAACAGCTTTAGTGTAAGAGAGCTGAGCAAGTTGATGTGCAGTGACATTTCCGGAGCCATTGCCTAAAACGTAATCTAGTTCTTCCTGCACCTTGGTTTGGACTCTCGGATTTTTAGCCAAGAGATAAAGAAGTACAGCAGCATTATCAGAGGTCTGAAAAAAAGAGAGGTTCAACAAGCATTATGTTTGTTGAAAATTATCTGAATATAAAACTATGATATTCATGTGTTCTCTGTTTTCTCACTGCTGTACTTGCATCTTTCATTTGTATACAGTAATACCCTTCTTAACACTCGGGATATATTCACAGAGGAGAGTGCCAACTTAACCAACTCTAAGAAGGGTCATTATACCTTTATACAGGGTGTACCATAAATACCTGTCATAATTCAGGGGGTGTATTCCTGAGACATAAATAAAGATAAATTACTAAATGACCAAATTTTCAATTCTCAATAGTTTTGGAATTACAGAACATGACAGATTTGATAGGAATGTGATGAAACCTATGGTTACCTGACATAACTCCCCTTGACTTCTACCTGTGGGGTCACATAAAAAGCAAGGTGTATGTTACAGAGGTTCGCAAACCGAAAGGAATTGTGGCGCCATGTACAGGACAGTGCGACAAACATTCGCAACACCCCTGGGGTCTTTGAACTTGTGCGACACTCACTAGTGCGACAGGCTGAACCCTGCATTGAGCAAGAGGGGCGGAACTTGAACATTTCCTCTAAATGTTAATACCAATACAAATCATATGGCATTATTATTGTAAATAAACGTCACTAGAACAGTGTATTGGATGTTTCATAGACACCCCATATAGATTTCATCACATTCCTACCAAGCATATCATGTGCCGTAACTGCAAAACTATTGAGAATTGACGGTTTGGTCATTTAGTCATTTATCTTTATTTATGTCTCAGGAATACACCGCCTAATTTATGAAAGGTATTTACGGAACACCCTTATATAAGATGTGTTCCTATAGTAGTTACACTTACCAATGGGTGCCATGAATGTTTCATTAGGATATTCGTAAACCCAGTGTCACAGTATTATAGCATTTCTTTAACCTGAAAAATGCGACATACATCATATGATGGAACACAAGTTATAAAATTTGCATGTGTGGGGAGGCATGTAAAAGGCATACGGTGGAATAGGGAGGCGTCTATAAGATGTGGGATGGGTTGGGGAGGCGTCTAGAAGGCATAGGGTGGCATGGGTGTGGCATGGGGAGGTGTGTAGAAGACATGGGGAGGCATGGAAAGGCATGGGGGGAGTGTGGGGAGGCATGTAAGCATGGGAAGGTGCATAAGGGGTGCAGAGGCATGTGGGCTTATATTTGTTTTTTTCCATACAGAACTTCTGCATGCAATCTTTAATGTCATAGGTGTAAATTGGTTTTAGAGAAATATATTTTACTGTAATTTTTCATAGATGGGCTGTATGCCCTGGAAAACCTAATTGATCAGTTCTTGGGTTAAGGAGTGGTGGTCTTGCTAGAAATTTATATTTTGTCTGCAATATTAAATGTTGTCCTAATTGCCCACACTGACCAGATGCTCGGCCACTTTGGACTTCCCAGTACTATCACTCACAGACCTTTTACCCAAGTTTATGAAGGAAAGTGATCAAATTCATATCTGTAAAAAGCCTTTTATCCCACAATAACAATGATCATGTACTGGTATATAATCAGAATCTTTCTGTGCCATAATTTTTAAGTTTGATGCCTGATTTCAACTTGAGTAAATTATTGTTATTCATGGCAACTTTTCCTCCCTGCATTGGTCTCTCTCTTCATCTCTCCCTGCACAAGAAGCATTTTTGTCATCATGCACTTGCACTTGATATTTCCAGTGAGGCATTGTGTGGAAAACCCCTCACAACAGTAGTGTTGCATTGACACCCAGAAAAACAAGTAAAATATTATGGGAATCAAGAGAATGAGGGTGGGAATGAAGAGCAGTAGATTCTCCGAGTGAATTCAGCAACGACAGAACCATCACAGTTCTGAACAACATACCTTTGGTGTATAAAACTTGGTGATTTTAGGGGGCATGTGTATACAAGAAAATATGGTCCTGTGTACCTCTTTTTTGTACACAAGGTGGGAGTGCAACTGATACTCCACTCAACTGTCTCCCCCAACAGTAAAGTTATGCACCCATTTAAGGCTGAGTGAACTGGGAGTATCCTGGGTGCAAACAAACAACCCTTAGAATAGGAGGCTGGCACACCTTTAGTACATTTTCAATATTTACTAGTTACATATGATGAGGAAGAAAGGTAACTGGTCCATCACTTGAAAAAAAAAAAAGTTTTACAGAAAATCCTCGATAACTCAGTATTCGATATCTCGGAATTTCATATAAATTGGCACGTACTGTATACGGTCTCGGAATTTGTCATAAAATAACTCAGGGAATGCCAAATTACAGTATTACCCCGCTTTACACGGTTTCACTTTCAACGATTTCTCATTTACGCGGTACCTTGCCAGAACCGGACTTTCACTTTCCGAGGTGCATCTACTCATATACACAGTGAAGTATAATTTATTTATTTTTTTTTTTATTTAGCTCATAAAATTCATACAAATTCCCCTGCCAGAATATAATTTACATTGCTGGAATTCTTACAGTATGATGATCATTTTGAATATAAACATCATGGATTTTGCATTAGACATACAAATTTTAGATCTAATGTAATAATTTGGTTTACACAAAGCAAATATTTTATCGTTTGTGCAAAATATATGAAGTTTACATTCAAAATATTCCCTGACCTATAAGGAATCTAGAAATGTCAATTATATTATCCTAACTTTAGTCTGAGGTATTATTTATTACTAAACGTTAAAATCTAGTGTTTTCACCCAAACATTTCTCAGAGAGGTAGGAGCTAGTGAGCTGGGAAGAGGGGGGGGGGATTTGAGTCCATTATTTGAATGGACATTAACCTGGTGACTGTATTTCTCTTAAATATTAATTGTGTGAGCATACCATCATAAAATTTAGATGTTATTTTTACTACAACATAGGTATTGTGTCGGAAAAAGTGGAGTTTGGGGGTCGGGCCAGTCTCTATTGGAATTAATCCCATATGTTCTGTTGTTCACTTCACGAGGTTTTCACTGTACTACTGTATATAAAATTACCTGGGAAAATCATGCCATATTTGGCCACGTGCGTAATATTTGCCACATTGCGCTCCACACTTGGTCAGTCTGGTGTTTGTTATTGTTGTGGTTGGATGTGTGCTGTAGCATCCCAATATTTTGGGTATAAAGAACTATACAATGCACCACAGAGTATCGAGGGCACTAGAAATAATATTCAGCACTCCCTGATAAAATTTGGTACCTGCAGTATTAACCCAGTAATGTCCAACAACCTCCCCGATTCATGTCAGGTCAGCCACTGTACGCAGAACGTCTCCAATATTTCGATAAATCCAATGTTGTAGACCCTATTTAATTTACAGTGCAATTAATTTTATGCAAATTCCAACTACCTGCATATGAATCTTCCAGGTATTCCAACTTTATCCCCTTCAGTAAAAGTTCTAACAATCTGAAAGCAACTGAAGTCATTTATTAGCGTGACTGACACTTGTAGTACTATAACCACTTTAAAACAAAAAATTGCTGTGATAAACAATAAAATTGATACACAGCAAGTTCACTGCCTTCACATATTTTCCCCTACCACACACACACACACACACAAACACAACTATGCTCTTTATTTTCTTACCTTATAGTTTATATATTAATTTTTTTTTCTAAGCCACATTAGAGTACTGTATTTAAATGTTTACTCTTTTGCTCTGTAATAACGAAACTGGATTTACTAGAGTGAACTACAATATCCTTAGTGATATAAGTTACATGTTTATTTACATACTCAAGACTTGAATTATACAGTATGTAGAGAAAACAATTATTTTTGTTAAAAATTTTTCTTTATTTTGTATAAGTGACCAAAGTACAGTAGTATGCATAAGTGCCACACTGTTTACTGTTTATGAAGTGTTTCCCCTTCATCACCTGCATCACCTACCATTCCCCAGTATCACTTACCATTCACTTGCATCACCTACCATGCCTTTTGCCTACTGCAATGCTGGGAAGTGTTACTTTTTGGAAATTAATAATTACATGTATACGTAGTATACTGTATATGAGCCGATAATTTTTATTGTTGCATTTTTGTAGGGGGGGGAAGAGTGCCTTGATAAGTAGGAATTTAGGATAATTCAGTGAGGCCAGAGCCTCATGCATGCCGAGTTATCAAGGTTTTACTACTTGCAATCTAAAGACTTACTGTATTTGTACCACCCGGAATAAGATCCACCATAAAAGTGATAACATCTTTATGGGAGAGGCCTGGTTCTTGTAGAAGTTGCTCAACCAAGTTGAGCTGGCAATCTGGATCATGAGCTCTTTTTTGCATATCACTTTCCATTCTTTGGACAACAGTTTCACAGGTTCTGAAAAAGATGCACAGTCAACAATAAAATTTTTCCATAATATATATTGTGGATATATTAGTGGAAATATTCAGGGGGGTGAGGGGCAAAGGGGGCACATAACTCCAGGAAATGCAAATGGCTTCATCTTCTGAAATTAATGTTGCCTATAATCAGACATGGGTCCAGGGGATGGGAGGTTCTCTTGGTGTTGTGCTCAGCAGCCTGTACACTAACTTTGTTACCAAGTTGGGCAGTGGTGGTCACTTTGGTACCGTATTAGGGTACAGTATGTCAAGTCAACTCACAGACCAACATGGCATTGCTAACATGACTGGTACACAGGCTGTGATAATGTTGACCATGAATTATGACATGTTGGATGCTTTTGGTCAGTCTCAATAGAAGCCATGTGAATATAATCAATGCTAACCAGACTATTGTCACATGTCACATATAACGGGTCTGATGCCAGTAAGTTACTACAGCTTTGCAAGTGACTGAATAACCAACCTTCTGATTGGGTCTTCATTGGATCAATTCATGAACCCGTGAATACCTTCGCGTAAAAACTGAAAGCAAATAAATGGAGAAAATAGAGACATATGATTAATTGCAGAGCCGGTTGGGCCCAGGCTCCGACTGTCGCGTGCCAATCATATCTTATGATGGTGTTGATTAGAAATATCAATGGCTGTTGGTTATTGAAAGATGGCTGGACACCTTGCAGGGGAAGGAGGAGTTGGTTTTCTGAGGCAGAGACGGGTGTACCTGTATCCTTATATCAATTGTCCTCTCCATGATTTTAAGATCTTGTCAAATTCCTCAAACTCCATATCCTCATTATCACTACAGTAAAAGTCCAAAAATCCGGATGCCAGAAATCCGGACCACCTGAGAATCCGGACTTTTCAAAAACTATTTTTTTTTTTTTTAATGGGCTTTTGTGTGTATGTGCGCAAGCGTGAGCGCCACAGCTGCACAACGACAACAAGCGACCACGTGGTCGCCACTTTAAAACGAGCATTCAAACTGTGACAACATACCGTATATACTCATCTATAACCCCCCTCGTTTATAGGTCGACCCTGATTTTTTGACCAAAAATTCGTTAATTTATGATATTCCTTGTTTATAGGTCGACCCAAGTTTTTGAGGGTAATGGAACAACAAAACCCTCAGTAAAAACGTTCTACGTCCCATAAACTGAGGCTCGCCGTGTCTGAAACACGAGTGCCGAAGGCAAATTGTTTACCATTTATTATTACAACACTTTACACTGAAACGCTGGTAGTTTCAACAAAAATATTGTATATTTCCATTCAAGTATTTTTTCAAGTCAATTAGGAGGGAATATCATTGCAATACAACAGTTTTTTAACTAAACCATTCAAAAAGCGATTACGGTAACATCTTTTGAACGAAAGAAAGCGAAAGTCATTGTTTTCGTCATGATTTTATCCCACTTTCCACTGTAATACGTACGTAATTTCAGCAAAAATATTACATTTCCGTGAATGTATTATATCAAGCACGGGATGAATAGAATATCATTGTAATATAACAGAATTTTAACCGAAAACTATTAAAAAAACGAGTAATATCTGAAGAACATCGGAAGCTTAGGTAAAGTCTTTTGTTTTCGTCATGTATTTTATCCTATTTTACACTGAAATACATCACGTTTCAGCAAAACTACCATTTATTTCCGAGAATATATTCATTTAGGCGCAGTTTAGGTAAAATATACGTGTGATGTAATACTTTTTTAACTGAAAACGATTCGAAAAACACGTACCCTCTAGCCCTGTTCAAGGAGAGGACTGGGAGAAGCTGTTTGGTGCTGCAGACGATGACAAGGAAAATGATTTTGATGGATTTTAATGAAAATATTCAGAAATATGGTATCGTAATATTTATTCAAGTCAATTAGGGTAGAATATTATTGCAATACAACAGTTTTTGAACTGAAAACCATTCGAAAAGCGATTAAGGTAACACCTTTTGAACGAAAGAAAGCGAAAGTCATTGTTTTCGTCACGATTTTATCCCACTTTCCACTGTAATACATACGTCATTTCAGCAAAAATATTACATTTCCGTGAATGCATTATATCAAGCACAGTATGAATAGAATACCATTGTAATATAACAATATTTTGAGTCCTATTCTTTCCATTTACAGAGTACTGTACAAGCCCATAATAATGGCTCTTAAAGTAGATAAACTTCATTGTGTGAAGAGAAAGAAGAACAAGTTGAAATTGAGTGACAAACTTGAAATAATTAAGAAACTAGAACGTGGTGTGAGCAATACTGTTCTAATGGAAACATACAACATTGGAAAGTCTACAATTTATGATATAAAAAAGACAAAGAATAAAATTCTAGAATTCACAGCTTTTTCATTAAAACTGCTCGTTTTGATAAATAAAGCATGCTATATTTGCCAATGAATAAACTATCAAAATGTACCTGTTCATCTCTTCTTTATTCCTCCATAAATTTGAATTTTAAAAGTACTGCCTGAGAATCCGGAAAATCCGAAAATCCAGACCGACCCAATCCCCAAGCAGCCCGGATTTTTGGACTTCTACTGTATCACTGGCTTGGGCCGGCTGTGGTGGGTGAAGAACTCAGTAATGTTCTGATGACTGGGCGACGTTGTTCGCACCCTGCCCGCGCCGCTTCCCACGTAAATGACCAAATTTACCGCATAATTAAAGCATTTCAATTCTGGCAAGGTACCGCGTAAACGACCAAACGCGTAAACAAAAACCCCATAAATCCAGACTCAACTGTATTGGAAAATACAGCGGGTCCTCGCTGTATGTTGTACCTGTACCGATATACGTCGCTAACATATACGTATAGGAAGATATTTTCATTATACAGTCATGCGCCGGTTAGTGTCCTAGATACGTTCTTGGAAACGTGACGTTAACCGAAATGGACGTTGTCCGATCATCACATAAACTTTGTATTTATACTTTCGTGTATGTGGAATACTATATACGTACATATACACTTTTACTCTTAAATCACTACTGTAATGTGATACAAGTGATTAATTTTTATCTCTTGTGCAAAATACATGACGTTTATATTAAAATTATTCACTGTTTTACAAGGATTCCAGCAACGCCGGGCAGATGGGGGGAAAGGGAGCGAGCGAGCAAGCAAGAGGGCGTGGGGGGAGAGGAGGTAGTACGTTTGACAGTTGGCACAAGCCCAGGTCTAACGCGTGTATATTTATCAGTTCTTAAGTGACTAAGCTTCTCTCTTATAAAAAGCCAGTGAAATGACCTGGGTGAATATAATTAACATTGCTGGGATTCTTGTAACATACTGATTAATTTGAATATAAACATGCTGTAATTCACACTAGACAAAACAATTTTAGGTCCGTAATCAAATTAGTACATGTGCACTCCAGCTTTGCACTAAGGTCATTTATTTCTTTTATGTTTCTTTTAGTATGGTGTGTGCATGCAAATGGGTGAAAATAAATGAAGAAATCTATGTAAATCTACCCAAAAATACAGTTGAAAAACTTTTTATAAAATGTACTACAGTACTGTACACTAATGTACAACATATGACGTTTATATTCAAATTATTGGCTGTCTTGCAAGGATTACAGCAATGCAAATTATAATCTCCTAACTTTAGTCTGAGATATTATATAAGATAAAAACTGGAAGCCTAAAACCCTGGCTGGGGGAGAGGGACGGAACCAGCCAGCCAGCGAGGGGTGGGAGGGGGGTTGAGGTGATATGTTTGACAGTTTGAGCCGAAGGTCTCTGTGTGTTTATTTAACAGTCTTACTAAGCTTCTCTCCTTTTAAAATGCCAGTGATATAACCTAGGAGAATATAATTAACATTGCTGGGATTCTTGTAAGATACTGATTTATTTGAATATAAACATGTTGTAATTCACACTAGACATAACAATTTTAGTACCGTAATCAAATTAGTGCATGTGCACTCCAGCTTTGCACTAAGGTCATTTATTTCTTTTACGTTTCTTTTAGTATGGTGTGTGCATGTAAATGGATGAAAATAAATGAAGAAATTTATGTAAATCTACCCAAAAATACAGTTGAAAAACTTTTTATAAAATGTACTACAGTATTGTACACAAATGTACTACATTTTTTAAAACTTGAGCAAAATATATGACGCTTATATTTAAATTAATCTCTGTCTTGCAAGGATTTCAGCAAAGCAATTTATATTATCCTAACTTTAGTTTGAGATATTATATAAAATAAACATAAAGAAATCACCAATCTTTAGTCTGGGAACACAAGGAGGGAGGTAGCCAGCCGAGTGTGAGAAAAGGGGGGGGGAACAGGGGGGGGAGGAGAGGTGACAGAGTGTCTTTATTTATTTGAGATAAGATTTGACAGTTGGAACTGAAGGCCTGCGTGTTTATTTATCATTACTTAAGAGTGACTAAGCTCTTCTTATAATTTGCCACCCAAACGATCTGGGTGAATATACAGTAACTTACATTGCTGGGATTCTTGTAAGATAGTAATTTATTTGAATACCTGTATAAACAAGCTATATTTGCAATTCAATTTCAATTTCAATTGTTTATTCCCTGATAGAAGAAGCGGGATCCTAGGGCTATCACTTGGTACCCCTGTACCATAACAGCAGAAGCAACTGGCCAGTGTCACAAGTACAGTACTCCCTCTTTATCGACGGGGGTTACGTTCTGTAGACGGCCGTCGATAAAGAAACCGTCGATACCGTGATGGTTACGTAATTTTTCTAACTATTATTAGCATATGTTGAATAAATGTACCTTTAAGCATTAATGCGTTTCCTTTACACATAACCTTAAATAATAGTGTATAAATAATAATATAATAAGTGGACAAAAATACTAGCAAACTTACGATTTCATTTATTGAAGTGAACATCGGTCCTTACAGTAAACAATACAGTGTACAGTATATACAAGTGTGATGATTGAGGCTTATTAAAAGCCTGACCAGTCAGATGAGAA